GATATTGATAATAGATTAACGGTGGTTGAACAAGATATAAGTGGTATGTTGAGATGGGAGATGGATAGATCAGAATTCTATCTTAGATTCCAAAACGTAGAGGAAGAAAAAGGACAAAACTTAGCTGAGATAATGATAGAAATACTGGCTGAAGCTTTGGAAATAACTCGAAGAGAAGATGATGGATGGAATAGATGAGGTTTATCGAGTTTTCACAAGATATGCGATGAGAAATAGCTTACCAAGAGAAGTTCACATTAGATTTACAAAGAAAGCCATTAAAACGCAAATATTGCAAGTGGCAAAAGAGAAAACATTGAAATATAAAGACAAGGAGATTGTGGTCTTGAAACAAATACCCAGAAGAGTGAGAGAGATGAGAAGAGAATACCGATTCCTGACTAAAATGCTACTTTAAAAAGAGGTGAATTATAGATGGCTGATTCCAGAAGGTTTAATGTTCACATGGCAAGAACAGAGACATAGAATTGACTCAATTGAGAAAGCAGAATTATTTTATACAGAATTTTTTGGAAGGAAAGAGAAAGAGGCAGAAAAAGAGATCTCATTAATTGAATTCCAAGAGGACTGCCAAATGGTGACTGAAAAAGAAGAAGGTGCAGTAGGTGGAAAGGTGGAAGCCAAAGAACAACATGAACTAAGATCTACAAGAGCTGCTAAACTTAACTACAAAATATAACCATGGAAGAGAAAAAATTGATTACAATTAATATAAATGGACTTAACTCAGCCGTTAAAAGAAGGAAAACCTTTCATAAATTAGAGAAATTAAAATTTGATATAATTTGTCTACAAGAAGTACATATTAAAAAACAATATGAACAATTGTTGATACAGCCAAAATTAGGGAAAATATTTACTTCCTTAACACAATGTTAAAAAAAAGAGGAGTGGTTTTATATATTAAAGAGACCACCCCAGCAAAATTGATTTATACCGATGATGATGGAAGAATACTAATGGTGGAAATAATGGACAATAATACGAAAACACTCCTGATTGCAATCTGTGCTCCGAATGACAAACAAGAAGAATTCTACAAAAAATTACATATGAAAATAATTGAACTGGACTATGCTAATATAGTTATGATGGGAGATTTTAATGGAATTGTAGACAATAAATTGGACTATACAGCACAGAAAACAATAAAGCAAAATAGAAAGACTCTCCCTAAATCTTTTTTTAAAATGGTAGATGAAATAAACATACATGGAGAGAAAGAAATGCTAAAACTAAACAATACACCTTCTATTCAAATAGACACTTATCATGGTCCAGAATAGATATGATATGGATGTCAACAGAATTAATAACTAATATTCAAGAAATAAATATTGAAACAAGTACTTGGGCAGATCACAATCCAATGACAATTAACTGGAAAGGACAAAAAAGAAGATCTAGATGGACGTTAAATAATACTATTTTAAAGGAAAAAGACTTCACACAGTGGATGGAGAAAGAATTGGCTTTTTTCTTTAGAGAGAAAAAAAAAAGATACATCAATTCAGAATGTATGGGATACAATGAAGGCATATGTTAGAGGCTTGATAATAGACTATACAAGGAAAAGGAATACTATGAAAACATTAGCCTCTAAGGCCTTAGAGGATGAGTATAAAAGACTTGAAAAAGAGCTACAGAAAATGCCACAGAAAAAGGACATCAAGCTAAAAATGGATATAATTAAACATAAAATGGGTCAAATATAAAAAGAAGAATTAGCACAGAAAATTAGAGGTGCTAAACAGAACTATTTTGAAGACACAAACAAACCAGGTACATGGTTAGCATACAAATTGAGAAAGGAGAAAGAATCAAGGAAAACATTGCAATTAATAGATGACCAAGGCCAAGTTTGCTATGGTAGTAAAGAGAAGAAGGAAATCATTCGAGACTTCTATGGGAAATTATATATGCAAGAGAATATTGATGAGGAAAGAGTTAAACAGTACTTACAGAATGCTAATTTACCTCAGATACCTAAAGAGACTGAAACAATGTTAGAAAGCAATTTAACGATGATGGAGTTAACTGAAGCACTCAAGAAGCAAAATAATGGAAAGGCACCAGGCCCAGATGGACTTCCAGCAGAATTTTATAAAACATTACAAGAATCGTTGAATCTTCCATTGATAGAAGTTATGAATGAAGTTATGTTAAAGAAGAAGATACCTAAATCATGGTCAGAAGCCTATATTACACTTATTCCAAAAGAGGAGGCCGACCCATTACAAATTAAGAACTATAGACCCATTTCTCTACTAAATGCAGATTATAAAATCTTTGCTTCAATATTGGCAGAAAGACTTAAAAATATTTAAATAATTTTATTAATCCTGATCAAAATGGATTTCTGCCAAAGAGATAAATTAAAGACAATATGAGAGTAATCTTGGACACCTTGGAATACTACGAGGCACATCCTGAAAAACAAATGGCTCTGATATTTCTCGATGCACAAAAGGCATTTGATAATGTGAATTGGCGATTCATGTTCTTACTGTTGGAACAGATGGGTTTTGCTAGAAAATTTATTCAAGCAATAGAAGCTATATACTATAAGCAAACGGCAAAGGTAATGATAGAGGGAGAGCTGATAGACTCTATCAATATAAGAAAAGGAACAAGACAAGGGTGCCCACTATCACCTTTGTTGTTTGTGTTAACTTTGGAAGTGCTAAACAGAAATATTAGAGATGAAAAGAATATAAAAGGAATGAAAATCAAAAAGGAAGAATTTAAGCTGCAAGCATTTGCAGATGATCTGGTTTTCATCTTAGGAGACCCTTTAGAAACAGCATCAAAATTGATAGAAAAGATAGAGACATATAGAAAGGTGGCTGGTTTGAAAATAAATAAAGATAAGACAAGGTATTTCTTTTTTTTTTAACCTTCCGACAATCAGCTGTTCCTACCAACAGCTGTGCCAGGATTCCCCTCGCTTCTTACTGCTTCATCTTGGAGGCTTCCTGAGGCCCAGGAAGGTGAAAAATGGAGGGAGGGGACACCGCCCCCTCCATTTTTGCCTTCCTGGGCCCCAGGGGAGCCTTCTGAAAGCAAAAACGCCCCACCCAGAAGCACCTCTGAGGCCAGGAAGGCCCCAAAACGGAGCGTGGAGGGGTGCTGTGTGCCCTTCCTATGCTCCGTTTTTTTCTTCCTGAGCCCCAGGGGAGCCTTCTGGGAACAAAAATGCCACCCCCAGAGGCTCCTCTGAGGCCAGGAAGGCCCCCAAAATAGGGTGGGGGTGAGGGGAGGTGGGGGTGGTGCTGCAAAAAAAGCCATGCCCACCCAATCACATGGCCATGCCCACCTAGCCAAGCCCACAGAACCGGTAGTAAAAAAATTTGAATCCCACTACTGCCTATACATTAAACGTATGGCCCAGTGGGAGGCCGATATTAAAACAACATACCTCATATGTGGCCAGAATTTGAAAACAACATTTAATACAGCAGAGTTTATGACTAAAATGGTCTGACTGAGATCAGCATATTTTACCCTATTAGTATTTTAAATTGTTTCTTTTGGACTTTATTGGTAATACGTGTTTGAACTTTGTATTTTGATATGGCCTAGAGACTAATCAATAAAGCTTTATGATCTAATTTGGGAAGTGTTAATTATAAGTAAAATCACAACCATGTCAATATGACCAAGATTTAGACTTGCATTTTTTAACTTATGTGGACAGGTGAATAATTTTTCAAAAAGTCAGTGAGGCTTATAATATGTTATAGCATACATTTTCTGTATTCCAAACAATTCCCAATTGTTTAATTTTGTATTTAGAATTTTTATTTTGTAACTATACTGTAGTAGCTGCAGAACTGAATCTTAGGATGAAAGGTTGGTGGTCTCAACTTGCCTCTCCAAGAAACCCTCAAACCTATAGCTTAACTCTATTCCTGGTCTTGGTGTGTGCAGCCTGTGAATTATTGCTGTCATTAATTATCGTCTCGGAAACACCTTACTCGCTGTCCTCCCCCTAACCTGAATGTGTAGGTGTGTCTGTGAGAGGCTTCTATACCCCCTTTTCTGGCAAATAAGAAAAAAATGGTGTGTGTGTGTGGGGGGGGAAATCAAATACATTATATAGTGCCACCTCCTGGTTGGATATTGTCAAGGCATGTGGCTAGCAGAATCATTTCCCTTCCCTTGAGAGATAAACAAGATTACAGTATTAAGAAGGAAAGAGACTCTTTTTAGCTTTCAGATATACAAGCAAAAAGGGATGGCAAAAAGGGAAATAATATAGAGAGAATGGCATGAATGGCAAAAAGGGAAATAATATAGAGAGAGACATGCAAATTACAGATCCTGAAAAGTACAAGTTTATTAAAACTTTCTGCGTTGCCCTTTAAGCCAGTTAGGCCCCAATGGTGGTGATCTATACTTTAAACATTTAAAACAATTTCCATCATATAAGTAAGAGGAGAAATAGTCCTTTAAATAACAGAGGGAATATTATTGAAGATGAAGGGTGGAATGATGTGAAAGTTGTGTTTTAATATTTCTTCTTATTAGCAAGCAAGCATCTTACAAACAGTTTTAGATAGGATGCATTTTTATGGGTAAGCTATTAATCTTTTGAACTACATTCAGTTTTGCACATTTTTACTGCATAGTTTTTAAAACATACATTTATTTCTACTTTTGTTCTCTGTAACTTGAAGATAATTATAGTGGCAATAACCCTGTTGGGAATTGTAAACACTCTAATCAGGAACTGTTGTGCCACTTTGAAGCTCAATGTGACATCTACCTAACACAAGATTGGTGGTGATTACTCACTCAAAAGTGTTATTGGAAGTAATTATCCCAGAGGGCAGTGTCCTGCTTTCAGAAAGTACTGTCAAATTCCTATCAGTCATTCTCACAAACATTTGAAGCATCAAACAGAAACAGAGTCCCTTAGTGTAGGCTGATTGTTTTAGGAATATGTGGATTAAGATGGCATTTATTTCTATTTTCAGGCAAAGTGGGTTTCCTATGAGCTGTGAGAAGGCTTCTGGGCTGTTTTGAACGTGCGTATTGATCAAGTGGAAGGAATGGCCCAGGTTCTGCATATGGGGACTGCTTTCCCAGGTAGGTCTGTATGAAGACTACTTTTGAACAGGGAGCATTAACAGATGGCACTGGGCATTCTTGTGCCAATGCAGATAGTAATCTTAGATCACATTGCCACATTCAATCTCAGAAGTATTCTCACTGAAAGTTCTTTTATTTCATAGCCTCGGAAGCAGAGGTGGTATTCAGCAGATTCTGAACAGTTCTGGAGAACTGGTAGTGGAAATTTTGAGTAGTTCGGAGAACCAGAAAATACCACCTCTGACTGGAGATTTTACAGTATCCCTCCCCTGCCACGCCCACCAAGCCACGTCCACAGAACTAGTAGTAAAAAAAATTGAATCTCACCACTGATGGGAAGGATTCAGTGGGATACAGTTCTGTTTCTTGTGTATGCAAATATGTTTCAACTTGATGGCTGTAATTGTAGCGACCACAATTGGGGCTGCTAACTCAATTGTTAAGTGAAATTTTTACTCTGCTTATGATCTTATTTCAGTTTTCCTTTGCCTTACAGACCTGAAAATGCGAGGGTTAATCACAGAGTTACTTTTCAACATCATCATAACTGAAGAGTTGCTAAATTGTTAAATGAGAACTACCTGTATATTTAGTAGTCCCAGAATATAAGTTAGGAATCAAAGTGCTTTCTGACGAAAAGCGAAAATAGGAGAGGGTCACAAGGGGAAATAATTCTGGCTAGACCACTAAAATAAGATTTCATAGACAATAAAAACCCCATTCTATGAATCCCTAAATGCTGCAGTATTGCAGGCTAACTCAGCCTGCAGCCTGGAGTTCGATCCTACTGAGGCTCACCGTTGATTCAGCCTTCCATCCTTCCAAAATCAGTAAAATGAGGACTCAGATTGTTGGGGGCAATATGCAAATAATACTTCTGCATTGCAAACCACCCAAAAAATGCTGTACAGCGCTATGGGGCTGTACATAAAATTAAATGCTATTGCTACTGCTATCTGTTTCATCTATGGATTAGAGAAAAAGGATTGGGAGAAAGTCTCAGTTAAAAAAATAAAATTTTCTTATTAGAACAAACCAAATCCTATCTACACTTCTGTAACCAGCTAAATGCCCAAATATAACAACTTAAGAAGTGTATCTAAGGTCAGTTTAAAACAAGAGCAAGCTAATAATATCCATTCCCTGTTTCGATCCAGCATTTTAGAAATATACTGACTCTGGAACACTTTTTGTATTCCTCTGAAACACTTTATGTGCACATGAAGAACACTTTAAAAAATTAGCATAGAGTATTTGAATACCTTTTGGAACAAACAACAATGAACAGAACAATCTCCCCACCCCACCCCATCCCACCCCATCACTGCCCTCAGGGCTAATCATTGGGACTATGGAAGAAAGTTTTCAGGGCTGCCGAAAGATCTGTGGTCCACAAAGAATGGCATAGAGTTGCATGTGAACTAAGAATTGTTCACACAGGGAGCATTATACATGCAAGCTATATTGTCTTATGTGATGTCAGTACTGAGGTTGGATGAGATGCTGTGACACTTGATATCAGGCTACAGAATAAAGGCATTAAACTTTTTTAAGACGTAGTTTTGCAATCAGTCAGTCAATCTATCAATCAATGAGGCTTGTTGGTTTGGCAGTGAGATCCAAATAATGCAAAATTGGGGAAAATGTAGAGTTCCTATTTACTAGTTACAAGTACTCTATTTCATTCAGAAGTTGTAGGAGCTTCATCACTTGAAGCTTTCAAGAAGAGACTGGACAACCATCTGTCAGAAATGGTTATGGTCTCCTGCTTGGGTGGGAGGTTGGACTAGATACCTACAAAGTCCCTTACAACTCTGTTATTCTGTTATTTGATTTAAACTAGTCCCCCCTTGCTTGAGGAGAGCTGTTTTGATGCAATTGGCAGATTTAAAAAATACAATTGATTCTAAGATAATTTTTCTTTCTCATAGAATGGAAGTAAGAGACAATTGACTACGTCTATCTATGCTGAGATCAGCCAATACATGCCATGATACGCAAACACTCATTATTCATGATGATCCCAGACTTTCTGTGGTCAGTCCTTTCATGCACATCCTCAACCCTGACAGAAAAGTGTTCTAAGCTGAACTTTCTCTTTTGTGTTTTGAAGGAAAGGTCAATACAGCCTCTACTACAATCTTCCATGGGAAGGAGCAAGACTTAACTTACTCGGTGGAGACTCCTTATGGCTACCGTCTTGATCTGGACTTTCTCAAATATGTGGATGACATTGAGAAAGGCCACACTATTAAGCGCATTCCAGTTCATCGCCGACCACGCTACAGCTCATTGCCCCGGGGCTATGGCTACACTGGTTCCTGGTGGACATCAACAGAGTCCCTCTGTTCCAATGCCAGTATGGACAGTCGCCATTCCTCCTATTCTTATTGTGGCCGTAGCTTCTACCCACAATACACTAATGCAATTCACAGCAGTTTCAATGCCCGTGTGGAGAAAACTTTGCTGGATGCTAGAAAGAAGTTAGAAGACCAGGCAGACCTAGAAACCCCCACAGCAAGTAGCCTAGGAAGTCTCCACAGCAGTGTATCTGGATCAACAAATTCTTTGGTTGGAAGCCAGAGTATTTCCCATCAAACTTCTTACAATGGCTCACAGCAAGGTGCTTCTGGACAATTCACACCAATTGGTTCTGGGTTGTCCACTCCAGTCTCACCAACTCCAGGACATCTTCAATATGTTCGTGAGCAGATGGCTGTGGCTTTGAAGAAGTTGCGCCAATTGGAAGAACAGGTCAAGATGATCCCAGTCCTTCAGGTGAAGATCTCAGTGTTACAGGAAGAAAAAAGGCAGCTAAGTGTTCAGCTTAAAAGCCAGAAATTTTTGGGGCACCCAGGAGGATTTGGCAAGGGAAAATCACGAGGGGAGCTCTACATAGACATCCCTGAAGAAGGGGCAGGTGGAAATACAGAGGACAGCAGTACCAGACCTGACATGAAGGGTAGATTGGATAAGAAGGAAGTGAGGTCAGTGGGTGTGGGAAGGACAGTTGAAGATGGAGAAGTGAATGTGGACATGGCAAGATGTGACATAGGGGTAGCAGTCAAGGAGGAGGAGTTGGGGTTACCTTCCCCAGAAGTGGAACAACAATGCCAAGCTATTCAGACCCTATCCACCAAAATTGCTATGTTAGAAACACAACTGAAGAGAGCACTTCAAGATCTCCAAGCTGCCCATCAGAAACTGGAGCATCAGGGCAGGGAGAAGAAAGACAAAGAAACTTCGACAAGAGATGAGGCCCTAATAGAATGGGAAGCAAGAGGAAAAGATGTTCAGCAATGGGATGCCTCCATTCGGGTTGATGCAGTCAAAGTTGTCCAAGTGGAAAGGGAGCCAGAGATTGCAGCCAGCATAGCTACCGGTCCTCAGAGGGCACAGGTCCTGGAGAGCAAGGAGCCCTGTGCCAGCCTCAGGCTTTCAGCAGGCAAAGATTCAGTCTCTGAGAAAGTTCAGGTGCCATTTTGTGCCACATACCACAGCAGTGAGGTGATGGAAACCACTTTCCCAATTCATGCTGGAGCAGCAAACACAGCCACCACCTTTCACTCTGTGAAAAAGATCAGCATTGTCAACACAGAAGAGGATGGGGATGGAAAGAAAGAAAGAGGTAAGGAACAAAGGAAGTAATCTAGCCTTGATTTAGTTTCAGGGGAGCAGAACCCATTTATCCAGACAAGATTGCTCAGTTCAGTTTCTTCAGTTACTTTAATCCCAGTTGCAGTTATACTGTACATAGAAAGACAATAAGACAGAGAAGTGAAAAAGTAAAGAAGAAGAGTAAAGAAGAATAACCAAACAATAAAATAAAATAAAAATGATATAACTCTATTACTATGGGTACAGGTGGTCCTCAACTTACAACAGTTCATTTAGTGTCAGTTTGAAATTACAATGGCATTGAAAAAGTGACTTATGACCATTTTTCACACTTAGGACCATTGCAGCATTCCCACAGTCACATGATCAAAATTCAGATGCTTGGCAACTAGTTCATATTTATGATGGTTGCAGTGTCCTGGAGTCATAAGATTAGATTTTGAGAACTTCTGACAAGCAAAGTCAATGGGGAAGCCAGATTCACTTAACAACCATTTCATTAATTTAACAAATGCAATGATTCACTTAACAACTGTGGCAAGAAAAGTTGTAAATGGGGCAAAATTCACTAAACAAATGTTTCACTTAGCAACATAAATTTTTGGCTCAATTGTGGTCGTAACTGGAGGACTACCTCAACAGCCAAAACAGCCAAAGTTAATTTGACATTAAAAATTCAATGTAAACTTTGCTACAGATGTGGCCCCATTTTCTTCCAGCTGTTTTTCTACTGTATTCACTTTGCAATTCCATGTCAAAGATTCTTTGCCTAAGAATTGCTGTGGCCTGTTATTGTCCCAGTGTGAACAGTACATCTGTGTAAAGCCCTATTTATGAATTTTACCTTCAATTTGGTAGATACAGTATATTGAACAGATAGACTCAATAAAATAAGAGAAATCAAACCTTGTAGTTAAAAATTAATCTTTAGCCAGTGTTTAAATATACATAGCCATGTCCTTGTTTCATTTGCCAACAGCCCATGTCCCAGCCATAGGCTGCAATTAGAAACAAGATTTTGCCATGAGGTAATGCATCTTTCTCTTTCTTAAGCAAGGTTGCATTACAATATTTTATTTTATTCTTTTATTTATCAAATTTAGAGACTGGTTATCCATTCACAGAGCGACTCTGGACAATGTACAATTAAAAACATAAAAACCATGTAAATATCATATATCAATAACAGGCAGGCAAAACAGGAATAAATTAAAGTTAAAAGTGGGGGCCCCTTCAAGACAGTTTGCCAACCCTAAGGTTGCTACTCCACTCCAAGTCAGGCGCAAGCAAGTCAGCAGAGTCAGGTCTTCAAACTCTTCTGAAAGACTAGGAAAGTGGTAGCCTGTCTCGTTTCTGGGGCCAGGGTGGATATTTTGCTTATGTATTTTCCTTTAACTGGAATATTACCTTATAAAAAGTTCAGTTCATGCACATAATGTTTAAAATGACACACAGCACTATATTAAATTAAAGTCAGTTTATATCTGGACCTATTAAAAATAGTCAGGACAAAAGACTTGGCGGGATTTCCATAGTCTTTAGAGAGATAAAAATTTCTGGCAGAATCCCTTTGTCAAAGTCAGGAGAAAAATCTTAAAGCCTGGCCTGCAAATTTATTGCAAAATTCAACTGTTTTCTCACACAACTCTAATCTTAAAAGAAGCATTCATAGAAGGAATTGGCTTTTTGGCCACAATTTATAGTAGGAGCAAAACAAAAAGGCAGTTTTAAAATAGTCTGTGGAATTCCCAGTGGGGAGGTCAAATATTCTTGAGCAAAAAGATTATTGGAAGCTGAAGTTATGATGAAGATAAGCTAAAGTTACCTTTGTCCAATAGACCTATGAGGTGGGCCAGAAGTGCTTCCTTAGGCTCAGAATTAGACTAAGCTACAAATCTCTGGAGGATGCAACTCTGCCTCACAATTCTTTTCTTAGCTCTCTGCTGGTACTTGGTGTGTTCTTAACTCTGCATGTGGAAATCACAGCAGAATCTCCAACATGAGGTAGAAGTTAACTCCCTTGGGATGAGTGGCCTACATTCTTGGCATCACGACCTGGATAAACATTGGGAGCTTTTCCAGCTGTTGCAGAGTTGCAACATGAAAGCCAACTGAGCCTCTGTGGATCAATGTGTCTTTAGGGTTTCCCTAAGATCTTATTTGTCTGATCATCTTCCTGCTGCAGTTGTACAGTTGATTGCAGAAAGGGACTTTTGTTTTCAGAGCAGTGAGTGTTGCTTGTGGAATAACTGCATTGCTTGGGGTCTATTGCAAGGGGTGGTCTGCAGGGTGATGGAAAAAATGTTCATCCCACTCCTGTAATCCCTGCTTTGTTGTGGGGTAGCAGGACTAAAAGAAAACAATTCCTAAAATAACTCATGACTTGATGTAAGTTTCTTCCGGTGGTTGCTGAATGGAAATTGTAGACAAAGGCAAGGAGATGATAGCCTTGATTAAACCAGCAAACACTGGTGAACATATTATTTTCCTGAGATGTCTAATTAAAACTAAAGACTCCCTCAAGTCAAGTTTGATTTCTGGTGGCTATTTGGACAAATATATCTAGTTGCTTGAAAACAATACAGAAGTGATTTACCATTGTCTTCTTTAAGGATGTTGCTTTCAATTTCCCAATCTTGCATTCAGCTATGGGATTTCCTAGTGATCTTTTGAGGTGCCTTTTTTCAAAATCAGCTAAAATTGTCTACGTGTTGTCACCTGCTGAGTGACATGTTTAATTGTTTATTTATCTATTCTCCTAATATCTTTCAACTCTCTGTCCCTAATGTCACAAAGAGACAAACTGTTATTATACTTAACTGTTAGTTTAGTTTCTCTGTATCATTCCAGCTAGAACCATTGCTTCTTTTAAAACAGCCAATGCCTGGTATGACTAAATGCAAATCTATAGAATTTATTCCAAGTTACAACTTAAGAGAAAACTGGTACAAAATGTTTATAGTATTTGCCAAGATAAACCCATAATATAGTAAAAAATACTAGAAATGTAATGATACAGAAGGAACATTTTATCATATGTGATGGACTTGTACAAAGTTAAAAAAAATACTGGAAAGAAATTTTAGATTTTTTAAAATTGAAACCACATTTTGCTTTTACTAGATGTAATTCCAAGAAATTTTAACAAAAATGTTATAGTTTATGAAGATACATGTTTATAGTGGGGAGGATAAACCTAGCAGACCATTGGAAAACAGATCTGTTATTGACTATATCAATTTGGAAACTTAAACTTGGAGATTATGTAGCAATGGCAAAATTAACAGTTTATATTCATAATAGAAGTTTGATCAAATTTAAGGGATAACTTTCATATAATAAATTATGCAGCAAACCTATGCATTTAGAAAATGGTTTTTAAGGGGGGAAGCTGGCCAAGAATTTGACTGAACGAGTAAGTAAAATACAGTAAATAAAACAATCTCTATATATTTAAGTAGCATTGCATCCAGGCTCCAACATAATGCTTGACTGCATGTGTCCATGAATATTTTCTTTATATCCCCCATGATACAGTTGAAATGATTGTTTATATTACCAAATTATTTTTTTTAAAGGAAGCAGAACTGCCCTATCTTTAAGCAAAACTCCAATCTCCTGGATTGATTTTCATTTTTTGGCCTCTAGTGGGCTTTATAATCTTTTTTGTGGCTGCAGTCAACTTCACTTTGGAAATGTATTGAAAAAAAGACAATAACAGGGAGTATCTCATGGCAGGGGGGATGTGGGTGGGATGTTAAGCAGCTTGATTCTGCTGACCCCATAATGTGAATGTGCAAGCTTCTCAGCAGCCATCGGTAAAAATGCAGAAGTTATTATTTACAGAACTCCAAATGTGCTACCATCCCAAAAATAGGAAAATTATATTAGCTACTCTAATAGTGGGTGAGCATCTGTTAAACTAGAGGCATAAGCTCCAATTTAATCACAAGGGTGCTCTTCTGGAAACTAGATGAAGAACCAATTTTCACAGGGGAGTCAAGATAAGCCCATATATTGGGCATAGCCTGAAAGATACTTGACTACAAGTTTCTTTTATTCTTTTTTCCATATAACTTTACTATTCATTCACAGAACACACAATTCTTTGTCTTATGCTATTTCTTTCAATATCAACACATCTCTACGTTTTCTACAAATTATTATGATGTTGTGAATTTATGAATGTTAGTAAAAAAAGTCATAGCTTAATACAAGGAGGGAATATTCCTTGTGTATAAAAAAAGTTCCATAAAGGTAGTTCTCAATTTATAACCATTTGTTTAGTAACCATTCGAAGTTACAACAACACTGAAAAAATGACTTATCACCATTTTTCACACTTACATCCATTGCAGTATTCACATGGTCACATGATCAAACTTCAGACTCTTGCCAACTGGCATGTATTTATGACAGTTGCAGTGTCCCAGGCTGTGTAATCACCTTTTGCGACCTGCTGACAAGCAACGTCAATGGGGAAGCCAGATTCACTTAACAACTGTGGCAATAAAGGTTGTTAAAATGGGGTAAAACTCATTTAACAACTGTCTTGCTTAGCAACAGAAATGTTGGGCTCAGTGATGGTTGTACATTGAGAACTACCTGTATACATTGTTCCCTGTTTTCCAGGCTTGGAATGTTAAATTATTATATGGCACTTGGCCAGGTTGTAATCAAGCCATGTATTACATACATGGAGCAATATTGCATTCCTTAATGTGAACCCACAAAACAGCAATATTGATACTACATAATCAAAAAGACATCCAAGGGGCAGCAATCTGTTGCCACTCTCCTGTTTCAGAGCCCAAAGAATCACTAGAGAAAACTGAAGATTCCCTTCTTGACTCCCTCCAAGTGGTTCCTTGCCTCTCTCAAGAACCTAAACTGGATATTCAGAAGGAGGATCAAGGTAAGAAGGGGTGGTGGTGAAAGGTGCCATGGAATCCTCTGACAAGTTGATATTACTACTTTCATTTTTTTCTCCATAGCTTCATCTACTGCAGGGATCCGGTCAATTATGAAGAAGAAGGAAGAACCTACAGAAATAGTGACTAGCAAGAAGAGCCTCCAGTTTGTGGGTGTCAATGGAGGGTAAATCTCAGTTTCAGAATTATAAAGAAAATGGGAAGCTCCCACTTCATTCCTCAATTCCCCAGTTCATTCCTCAATTCCTTAATTGAGGAAACAAGGCATGCAGGTCTGTTGCAGCAGACTTGTTTCCTTCCGTAATCTTTAATTTGGAGTTCAAAGAAGTAATATGCCATCTTCACCTCAAAGAAACACAACAACTGAACAATTTTATCAGAGTTTGCTTAGAAGTCCTATCATAATCTATCATTGGGAGAGAGCTCTACTTATCCTTGCTGCTTTTATTGTAAGTTGCCATTTGTACCAAGACAGGTTTCCATTGTCCCATTGTGACCTGCAAGATCCCAAGTCACCTGGCATCTCTGAAGTTCTTCATTCTTGAAATGCAGTGGTAGCACACAGCCAGGGTTTGCAATAGTGTCTTTCTGTTCTGAAGATAATCTGGAGAACTTTCTCAGACTTTTTTTTTTTGGCTTGTTTCTCAATCCTGTGTTGTTCCAGGTATGAGTCTACCTCTTCTGAGGACTCCAGCACAGCTGAGAACATCTCAGACAATGAAAGCACTGAGAGTGAATACCATGAGGCAAGTGAGGGCCTCCCTGCTGGGCAAGGAATTGTAGCTGAAGCTCCAAAGCTTTCTGGAATAACCACAGATACATTACATCCTGGAGTACCTGTCGAGGTGGGGAAAATGACCACAGCAGAAGGTCCCAGCAAGGAACCAGCAGACAAAACTGGGTAATCACTAGTTTGGACATCTTCAGAGCTCTTGAGAGTATGCACTATGCACTGCATGCTTTACATAGCCATTAATTCCACTCCTCAACTCTTTAAAAGCAATTTAAAGTTGACCTGCATCTATCATCATACATTCAGATTAACAGACTACTCTTCTGACCCCAAACTTCCCAACCCCAAAAAACCCTGCTGAAATTGCACTATTGTTATTTGATAATAGGATATGTGAGCATCACAAAATGTTTTACCCACCCTTGTTTTACCTAATGCCATCCTGGAAACAGTTTCAGAGTTCTTTTCTTCTTGAGTAAAATAACTCTCTATATGTTGTATTGTAAGGGCTGTAACAGTTGTTGCACAACTGTCATTGAATTATAACCCTGAATTAGCACAAAACAGAACAATTCACTGTAAATGCTCTGTATTAATTTTCCCTCTCAGAGAAACTTCCTAATTTAATGCTAAACCACAATTTAGGATTATTGCTCTAAGTAATCTTGATCAAAAACTTAGTTGATATATTCCCTCTTTTTCCTCCCCCTTCCACTTGATTTATAAGCACACTTCCAATGAATTAATAAACAAGCTGACCACAAACTGAATTAGAATGCTGACTGGTTTTAAAATAAACATTTTTCTTCTTCAATTGTATCTGATTTTCAGATCAGTCAATCCCTGCAGTTTTCTTGGCAAGGGCTTTCAGAGGTGGTTTGCCATTCCCCCTTTTCTAGAGCTGAGAGAGTGACTGGCCCAAGGTAGCTTCATGCCTAAGACAGGATTAGAAATCAGTCTCCTGGTTTCTATTCTGGGACCTTAATACAGTACTACTCCAAACTGGCTCTCTAAAATAAGTATATTTTTTCTCAAAATACAGGATCTTGTTCAAAGTTAAAAAACAACACAAAATTATGAGAACTGAAAATGAATCCTGCTTAACTCTTCCTTATAGCCATGAAAAAGGAAAAGTGAGGAGAGAACAAAAACCCAGTTTTCCGCACATAATACTAAATACTAACATTAATATATATAAAAACAGACAGGGGCTAAAATGTCCCTCTTTTTTCACTTTTTTTCAATTACCAGGTTGGGTCTCAGCAAGGAGTTGCTTTCAGCTTGTGCAGTTCTTCAGAAATACTTAGAGAGTTCGAATCCACAAATGGATGAAGAGACGGTATACATTTATTTCTTTTATTTTTGTAATAAGTTTTTATTTTATTTTATAACATACAAAAATTCCAATTTCAGTTGTCTGGGTACAAATCATTTTAGGAAATAATAATCACAGTATTTATAACAACATTCATTGCATTGATATCAATTATACTAATGTTAATAAACATAATAATCATACTATTTGTTTAACCAAGTTAACATATCTTCTGTAAATCATTAATCCTTTCATATATTTCCCTGTTTCTAACTCCTTTTTTTGTCAGCTAACCATTGACAAAATAAGTCCCAAGTCAAAAAATATTCAGTTTCTTCATTTTCCTTAATTATAAGTGTTAGCTTATCTAGGTATATATTTATTTCTAAAGTTGGGGTGGGTATTTAAAATAGTGTCTCTGATACCCTGCCCATTTGCCAGAAGATAATAAGCAATGGAAATACTGAAAAAGCACAGAACATTCAGCCATGAAGACAGCATGCAAAAATGGGCCCTAACAATTTCTTACCAACCTCTCTTGTTATTTCTTTTTCTTATATGTACCCTGGCAGAAATTAGCCTATACCTCAATGCTCCACTATTGGCTCAAGCTTTCCTGCCACAAAGAAGCCGATCCAGATTTGATCTCGCTGCACTTGACAGATTTCCGGGCTGTTTCCCCGCAGTTGCTAGAATTCATCATCAATATGGCGGATGCCAATGGCAACACAGCCCTGCATTATACAGTCTCGCATTCCAACTTCCCCCTTGTTGCAAAACTAATTGAAACTGGTAGGTGGGGACAGAAGAAAGGGAGGGAGCCTTTGTCAGAATAGCCCATCTAAATGAACAGCAATAGCAGTCCAGGTCAGTCAATTTCCCAGGGCACTTGGGGCTCTAGAGCCTAGGGTGACTTTCAAGCCAGGGGAGCCAGGCTCCACTCTAGGCTGGTGAGGACAGTTTGAATTCTGAGAATGTGTTGGGTTGCTGTCATGGACAAAATGATTTGCCAACTTAAAAAATAATTCCTATAGATTATTTGACAGAGTTGCCACATTGACATAATTTGCAGAGATTGCCGCCTGATGCTGTTTTTAACCCCCCAGGAAGGTTTCTCCTCCCCTAATTTAACTTTTTTTTTTAAACAAATTTTATTCAGTTTTTCACATTAAAAACAAAAGTCTCTTTTTAGTGGACAACATATTTCTGGGTCATCACCTTTACATACAAATATGACAGCAATTATACATTCATATATGCATACTTAATTCTATTATTACCTTTTCCATTCCAAATTTTCAGTAAGGAGAGAAACAAACACATTAATTCTAGCCTCTTTCATTAATCTCAATCGAAACATCTTTTTGTTTCATTTCAATTATTTCAAATATAATCCTTTAATATTTATTTTAAAAATAAAGATAAACAATATGTGTTTGCCTAATAATAATAATAATAATAATAATAATAATAATAATAATAATAATAATAATAATAATAATAATAATAATAATAAAGTTACCAATGTCTCTCCTTGCTTTTAATAGTCTATGTTAACTTATTAATTTAGTTGGTTCTTTAGTCTGTCATATTCCCTTTCCATTACACATTCTTTTTATAAATTCTAGATTAATACAAATTTTAACACTAAAAAAAACAACAAGTATAGGTTTCCCCACTTTTACTGCTTTGAATGTGACACCTCAATAATTAAAATATACCTTTATTCCCTCATCTTGATTCCCAATAAACCATTATTTTTAAGAAGTTACAATAATAATTATTACATCTTTTCATTTGGATTCCGCAGCATATTTCCCCCCCTTGATTTTTAATAAGAGTTATATTACCCTATTTTCTAAATATTTTTAATTGCAGAAATATTCTTATTACCCCTTGTCACCCTGCAGAATCCCCTTTTTAATTCATCAACCATTATCTCTGAAAAAACAATTTATTTTCAACATTTTACTATTTCCGTATTTCTTTATTTCATGCACCTGTTTCTTACTGCTTCTCCTCCCCCTCTTTTCCCCATATCTTTTCTCATTCCAGTTTATATCCCTCTCTTTCTTAATATCTTCCTTTTCCCTTTTCTGCTGGGTCTTTCTGCCTTTCCCAACTTCACAGGTATTCCCCCTTTTGATTGCCTTCTTAAATCTCAACTTTTTAACTTTCCTTTTTTCCCCACTTCTTTGTAGTGTTCTTTGTGTTAATTGTCTATTTAAAATGTCTTCTCCTTGAATCGACTCCTCCTCCTCTGAAGCTCTTTCTTGTTCTTCAATCGCCATTTCCATTTTTTCTAACATAGAGCAAAGTGATTCGCCTCTTTCCTGTAGTAATTCTGTCATATTTTTAAGTTCCATTTTTAATTCCCGAAGAGATGTCATCATTACACACTCTTATATTTTATGATTGTTAAAGTCCACACACAAAAAAAACACTTTTACTTTCCTTCTTTCTTCTTTCAATTTTCTAAAGTTCTCAGTTATTCCAGCCCAGGGTCTATACCAAAAACATCAATCAATCCCACAGTCAGTCTTTCCTTGCTTTTTCCTTTATTCTGGTTCAGCTTTCACTTTCTAAGATTCTTACTTTGTTTCAATATTTCTTTAATGTTATATCCACACAAGTTCATTCAGAAACAGGATGCTTTCCGTTTTGTTTGAGCTCAAGTTTTTGTCAAAAAGTGGTACTCTCCATTATACAAAGTCTTCACCTTTTCCCCCTATTTTTTTATTTAGAGTTTTTCGAACCTCAATATTCCAGCACAGTCCAGTCTCCAATTTGTAAACTTTATTATTATTATTTTTTGACAATCTTAAGTCCAGCTTTATTTTATGTCTGTTTATATCCCCAAAATATTTTAGTCCAATTTAGTTAAATCTTTAGTTCCAGCTTCTTCCTTTCCCGGTTCGAAGCCCCACTTAGCTGTCAAAAATATTTTCTTATTTTTTTCCTGTCCCTTTGTAATTTTGCCGCTCACTTTTCTTTTCTTAAAAATTCCATGTTACCTTAATCCCGGGGTACTTTTGTTTAGTTGTGTCACCCAGTTGTCCCGGTTCAGATGTTATCCACCTCTTTCTTCCCTCCTGCACAATCTTAGTCCAGCTGAGTCCTCCTCTTCGGGGTGGCCATTTTAAACCACGGCTGCAGTCGTCTTCAGGGGGAAAAAGACCAAGCCCAGGGGGGAGATGCGACTCCCCTCAACCTGGCTTGTGGCTTCCCCTTACTCCGCCGCCCCTCCAAGGCAGCTTCAGCCCCTAATCGTAATGATCAGGGCTCTCCAACGAAAGAGCACAGACCATAGCCGCAGAGAGTCACGATCTACGGTCCATCAGCGAGGAGGCTCCACCTTCTTCCCTCTCCTAATTTAACTTTGACCCCCATCCCCAACCAGGATAGATTTGGCAGATTTCCAACCAATCCCTGCATTTCAGCCTCTCTAACTTTTGTTTTCTGAAAAGGCTATGGAGCAGTCTTAGATATTTATGAAATAAATATGAAGCAATTGGTTGGCATTTTGCCTTACCATGTATTTACTTTTCTGTTCCGGTTTTAAACTAGGAGAATCTTCTTTAAAAAATTAAATGATGCAGAAAGCCTGTTATGAACCAAGGAACCTTCTGCAGGCACCCTGTGGCATGTACTGGTTTCGCATTAATTCTGCTTGGATTTATTTACATTCAATATACTTCCATCCTCCATGGAATTTAGATTTTTTTTTTTCAATAAAATTTTATTTGGGTTTTCACACATACAAAATACAAGTAAAACATCTTTTTTGAAAATAGCATGGTCCCAGGTTGAACTTCTTTATACAAACACAAAATTCAATTTCATGCTCCTTTTTGTGTTCTATTCCATATCTTATATTATTCTACATTTTCTATATAGTTTTTCCCCTCTTTTAATTTTCTCAATTTTATTTTGATTATATCATCTCAATTCAAATCATTATATTTATACTTTTGTCTGTTCAGTTTCAATTTCATATTATCTTTTCTCATTAAACAAATGTTCTCCTGTAGTTACTAATTGGAGTATGACACCTTTATATCTTTTAATTACATCCATTCAACTCTTATTTAAACTTCAATATATACCTTAAGGTTATGACCTTCAATATAATACATAATACATAACTTCCAATCAAATTCTGCTTGGTACATTCTTATAATACACAAAAAAAAGATTATAAATATATGTAATTATAAACCCTCATTCCATTCCAATTCAGTTCTATCATTAATAATCATTAAAATCTTAACATCTTTAACACTTCTTTTCAATTAAATATCATACTTCCTTAAAGACACATATAATCTCCATAATTAATTTTTCCCTTATTTCTCTTCACATATGTTTTGTAAATTATTAAATATTCATTTTGTTACATTTATTTATTAACAAGCATTCCACTGAATTACAATAGCTATTTTATCAAACATTTTAATCATACATTGTTTCATATTTTCTAAAATTATTTCTGTTTCTAATATAACAATACTATCTTATGTACCTTTGCAGAATCCCTTTTTCCATTAAATTTTCACCCATTATCTCTAAATAGGCCCTGTTTCTCTATATTTTGTTTCTGTCCTTTATATCTTCTTTTCCTTTCTTTCTTCCCTCTCATCTTCTCCCTCCCCTTTTTACCCCTTTGTCTCTCTACTTCTAATTCTCTCTTCTGCATTTTTCTCTTCTGTTGCTTTCTGATTTTGTACTTATTTTTCACTCTATTTTTTTTGGGGGGGGGGTGTTTTTCCCAATCTTAAACTTTCCATTCTCTTTCCCCCCTTTCCTTTTTTCCTCCCACCTAAGATTACTTGTTTATTAAAGATGGCTTCTTCTTTGTCGCAATCTTCTTGTTCTGCAGGCATTTCTTGTTTCTCATAATTCCAAATCTCCATTTCTAAAAACTGAAATACGAAGCCAAAAGAACCTCTCGCTTCTTGTGCATCTTCTTTGCACTTTTTAAATTCCATTTTAAGTTCTTCTAAAAGTGGAGCCATTTTAAACAGTCTTAAACAACCACCCGATTGATTTTAGTCATTCAAATACAATAACCAAAAATGCAGAAATCATCAAGTAATCCAAATAGTCCCAAGTTATTTCTTCTTATTTCTTTTTCCACTTTCTCTTCCTGGGGGTTTTGTTGCGATATTTCAGTTAAAATGTATCTTTTGGAAGTCTTGTTAAGATTTTGCTGTAAATTCTTTTTAATTCCAGGCAGTCTCGTCCCTTCCAGATCCTGCCCTTTTATTCTTTTTCTCTCCTTTCCTGTTTTCAAAAGCTTTTGATTATCCAGAAATCTTTATTATCCCTTTGACTTTTTATTTTCAGCATTAAATGTCTATTAATATCAAAGTGGATTTTTTCCCAATTTCTTGCTTAAGTCTCTTAGCTGTCAGTATAGGAAAAGGAGAAATAAAACCAAATCTTTTCCTTTTTCTCTCTCCTTCGCAGCTTAAAAATCTTTTTGGGAACAATGTTATTGTTTTTTTTTAAATAGTTTCAATTCCAGGGTACCTTATTTGTTGCTTTTGCTGTTCGACCCGGTCAACCAAAACTTTCTCTTCTTATCTTCCTTCTGCACATTCTTTTCCGGTCAAGTTCTCTTTGTGGTGGCCATTTCTGACCACCGCTACAACCGCCTTCGGGAAAGTGAGTAATGGCCAGCTGGGGAGGAGAGATGCGGCTCTCCTCAACCCTGCTGGCAGTCTCCCCCTTCTTCACCACCTCTATGGGGTGGCTTAGCCCCAAAACCAGCTGGCTCGGGGCGCTCCAGCGGTGAGCACGGATCGAAGCCTCGCAGAGACGAGGTTTCGGTCTGTCGCTGAAGAAGCTCAAACCGGAAGTCCTCCATGGAATTTAGATTTGAACTTAGCACTGACAATCACTCTATAAATTAAAGAGGCTGAAGGGAAAGAGACTCATCAAGACCACTCAATGCAAATGTTTAAAGCTGAATGTCCCAATTCACAGATCAATGCTCTGGCCACAGCAGCACAGCAGTCTATTAGGGAGAACCTGGAGGGCTGGAACTTTGGCAGGAAACAGTTAGGTCTAATGCAAGGAGTGAGGATTTTTCCAAAAACAGTACAAGTAGGTGCTTCATCACTGGAGGTTTTTAAGAGGAGGCTGGAATTGTATAGGGTCTCCTGCTTGAGCAGGGGGCTGGACTAGAAGACCTCCAAGATCCTTCCAGCTCTATTCTGATTGATTGATATATAGGAGATGGTCATAAGGCCAACTATTTGGGAAACCCGGAGGAAAGATGTAGGGTTGTGTCAGGAGGGTACTATTCCCCGCATAGTGCCTCCTGACATAACCCAACACCTTTCCATACACTTTGCATATTTCTCTGATGTTACCAACTATTTGGTATATATGTGAAATGTACTATCATATTTGATCTTCCTTAAAAGATGTTTACCATGTTGGGGTTTAAAATAGAGGTTTCATAGATTTTTGACCAAAGAAAGATAGATAATAGTGGACTCTCTCCAGTAACTTCCATTTATGATATCTCTTTTCTTAGAGACATTATAAACAAATTTTACCACTGCTTCCCAGAGCTCATTTGAAATTGTGGAACCCACAATATTCAAATATTTATTTCCAGAAGGATGAAGTTTTCTAATACAGTCTTGTTATTGTAGGTTTGTGTCATGTGGACCAACAGAACAAAGCTGGCTATACAGCCATCATGCTCACAGCACTGGCTGCCTCTCAGACAGAGAGTGACATGGAGACTATTAAGCAGCTGCTGAAAAAGGGCAATGTGAATGCCAAAGCCAACCAGGTACTAACTTTACCAATAGATTCTTGCAAAATTGGAAGGGTAATAATGAGGATGATAGTGACAACCAGAAAGTAGTAATCATACTCTCACATGAGTACATGGAAATTTTTCAAAATCTTTTAAAATGCTGTTAACTGGCTTCAATAGATATACAAAATCTGAATAGAGTTTGTGCGTCTTCAATATTTTAGATTGTTCTTAATACACATGGTTTTTAAGAGCTAGGCATTGCAACAGGCTTTTCCCTACCCTGCATTTGGCAGCCCCTTAACTCTTTTGGTTTTTCTCCCAACTCCTACAGGCTGGGCAGACTGCATTGATGTTAGCTGTCAGTCATGGGCGTCTTGAGATGGTACGTGCCTTGTTAGCAAGTGCCGCAGATGTCAACTTGCAAGATGATGATGGCTCTACTGCACTGATGTGTGCCTGTGAACATGGCCATGCTGAGATTGTCCGCCTGCTATTGGCTACCCCTGAGTGTGATGTTGCCCAGTCAGACAATGTAAGTCCTGCTTAGACTTATGCTGCTGCTGCTGAGTTTGTTGGGTTGTCATCCATCTCAGAGCCCATAGGAAAAATTCTGCACAATAGATTTCATTCAGTTGCCAGGGCAAATTAGAAGTCTTACTCAGTGCCAAGGTTTAGTACTGGACTATTTGAAACACGTAGTAATTATTTCTCATAATTGAATAACTGCAGCTCAATCTTAGGAAAGAAAGAGAGAAGGAAGCAGGGCATATTGGGAATAAAATCATCAAATTCTTCCACATTTGATTATTAAATTCAAGTAATTCTACCCTAACATTCCACACACACACCAACCTCCTTGGTCCTATGTTTGGCTGAGCCTTCTACTGTAATTTACCGTAATTTTACTATTATCTAAGTGTGTGATTGGAAAATGAGAATTGTGCACATTGCCAAACATTCTCTTTCCAAGAAAAATAAATCAGACAGTTGTTTGCTATTACATATAGATGGTGGAGGGGATGATTCTCTTGGCTTTGGGGTGAACATTAAGAATAAGATGGGCATCAATAAATCAAATCAATTGATCAATCAGTCGATTGATTAATTGATCAATCAATGTTCCAGTAAGCGCTGTTGGAGAATGGTAATTTGTTTTATTTATTGCATTAATACTATTTTGTCAGGGCACTCAAGATGGCATACATAAGGGGTATTTCCTAATTTACTTCCATAATCACAATCTTGTAAAGTAGATTGAGTGAGAGGAAATGATTGGCTTGGAGTCAACCAACTATGGTAAAGAACCTGGTATCTCTGATGCAAGTCTAATACCATACCTGAACTACTACCCTGTATTAATGTTCAAAGAACTGTATGACTCAGTCCCAGATAGCATTTCCTGGAATTCCAGGAAGTGGGAGGGCAACCAAAATGATGACAATTCCTCCTTACAAAAACAGTGACACCCCCACCTCCCATAAGCCCCACCATCACTGCAGCCATATGTGTATCTTCTTGCTTTCTTCTGTAGGATGGCAGCACAGCTCTCTCCATCGCACTAGAAGCAGGTCAGAATGACATTGCTATCATGCTGTATGCTCGCTTGAACTTTGCCAAAGCTATATCACTGGTGAGTTGCTTCCTATAATTGTAAAAGCATTTGTCATAAAATTACTTGTAAGCCATTTTCTCTTAAAATCCAGGAAACTTCAAGGAAGAGCATTCCCACTAGATGGCTATCCAGTTTTTCTTTAAGAATCTCTGTCAAAGGTTGGACGGAATGGGTTCTTCTCTTCTTCCTAGTTTTCAACCAAAATTTGTATCTTGTAATTGAAGCCCATTAGAACATGCTTCCTCAGCCAAGGGAAAAAAAGTTTTTGCCCTCTTCTGTGTGATAGTGCTAGAAAGAGTGAATTTTTCTCTGAGCTAATGAGTTTCCTTAAGCTTTGCTCATAGAACTATTTTTCCTGACAATTATAACCATAGTTGGTGATGTCGTCTTTCATTTGGTCTACAGCCTTTTTAACCCCAAAGATAACAGTCATATAGTTCCAGAGAAAAACAGGTTTCAGGAGACTGACATGCATTTGGTGATAATAACAGAGGATGGATAAGTTTTCTGTGGATTCAGGTTTTTTTTTAAATAAGTTTGTTGATGTTTGAGAACTGTAAGAATCATAGCTGTGATGCTATGACATCACTAAGAAGATGGATCAGATTTTTTTTTTCCATTTTGGAGAGTTTAACATATCCTGTTTTGGTGAAAATCAGGGGAGAATCTGGTTACCTGACAATTGCCAACAATTTTTAGTGAAGTGACATGGGAGGTTGGGCACCTGCAACTGATCAAGAGAATTCTAAGATCTTATTTAATCCATTTTGCCATATACCCTCAGGGCAAGTTGTTTATCACTCTGTATTCCCATATTCCAATCTTCAGATTGAGTATAATTATAATCCACCCCAAATGGCAGCTAGGCTCAACATGGAAGTGGTAAGTGAGCAGGAGATCTGTGCATATGGATTAACATGGATTGTTGGGTTTGTGTAGCTGTTGTCAGATAAGGGAAAGGTTGATTAAAAATAATATGCTAAAATGAGGCTGGAAAACTTTCATTAAGAAGCAATAATGAAGTACTTTTTTTCAGAATACCTTGGAGCAGTTGAAGCCTGAAAATGCTGATACAATATTCAGTGATACTCTGTAACCCAAAGTAAGCTTCCTGTCCTTAGCTTCTCTCACTGCCTTCATCAGCTGAAATCTCACCATCTACTCTGCTCAGAGGGAAGAGAAGTGGACCTTCCAGGATAACGGACTTTGTGAGCGTCATTTCAACAATGTGGCCATGTATTCAGCTATGCTTGATGAGATGCAGTTATGTCAAATAGTGAGCCAAAGGGAAGATTGGAAGTTTAAGGTCTCTGGATGTTGCTATGGCTTTTCTGCTTCATCAAAACTAATGTGTCTTATCTTTTTTATCTCAATTATTCAAGAAGCAAGAGACATTGCAGGGCATAAAAGGAGGCCAAAAGGAACAATTGCAGTTCCCCTCCCCAAACATTCAAAAATAGTTTGACTGAGATACACAGGCATTGGCCTCACTGCTAAATTCAAACTTCTCCATACTTCCTTCTAATTATCAATAAGAAGATGCAAAAACTATTTAATCAGCGCCCACATCTTCATGTTTTTACTTCTTCTGTGCATTCCTCAGGTGATTTCCCCCCCAAAATGACAGTTTGCTGTGAGGGGAACTGCAAAGCCTTGAAAGACCTGTGAAATTTAGTTTCTGAGCACAATGTGATGGCAGGTAAATAGTGAGAGATGTTCTTTGATTCAGAGAGAAAAATCATCATGTCCATCAGAAAGCGTCGGTGCTCCAAAAGGGAAAAATCAGCATTACAGCAGCCGAGATTAACCAAAGCTGAGTAGGAAATAAATCCAAATTGAGGCACCAATAAAAAGTTGCCAAGAACTTGATTAGTTTGTTGTTTCCATTCCGTTGTTGTAGAGGGACCCAGCAGACTTCAGATCTATGTCTCTATATGAACTTCCTTTGCTTCTCTTCATCTAGGAATCTGAAGTGTGCAGCAGCGGCCAAAACAGTCAATGCAATCCTAGGCTGCATTAATAGAGGGATAGAATAAAGATCTCATGAAGTTCTAGTACCACTTTACAGTCTTAATAAAACCATACTTGGAGTACTGCATCCAATTCTGATCACCACAATATAAATAAGAGACTATGGAAGAAGTGCAGAGAAGAGCAACAAGGATATTATGGAGTAGAGGCAAAAACATATGAAGACCAGTTGCAGGAATTGGGTATGTCTAGTCTTAGAAAAAAGAAGGATTAGGGGAGACACGATAGCAATGTTCCAATATTTGAGGGGCTCCTACGCAGACGAGGGAGTCAAAGGCAAGACAAGAGTCAATGGATGGAAACTAACCAAGGAGAGAAGTATCCTAGAACTAAGGAGAAATTTTCGAATAGTGAGAGTGATTGCAATGGAATGGCTTGCCTTCAAAAGTTGTGGGTACTCCATCACTAGAGGCTTTCAAAAAGAGACATTTGTCTGAAATGGTACAGGCAGGGTCTTCTGCTCAAGCAAGGGTTGGACTAGAAGGCCTCAAAGTCCCTTCCAACTCTGTTATTCTGTGATATATTCCTGTTCCATTGCAAAAAGGGAAAAATATTTTAAAGAGGCCAATGAAGGAGTGTCTCTCTAAATCAACCCCATAGAGAATAGATACTCCTTTCATTTTCTGTTTTAAAGTTATTGAAATTCTGTATTTAATTTACCTGAATTAATTTTTGAAATCCCTAACCTTGTGTGAAGCAGAAATTATTTTTTATTACAGTGCAAAATCACAAAATAAGCAGTGTTTAAATAGATCTAAGATAAGTATTTGACACTGAATTTTAAATTTGTCAATATATTTGTATGATAAATATATCACTACTCATAAAATGCAAGTCGTAAAAGAATCATGGAACAAATATACGCTATACATAACAAATACACACCCACTCCCAAGCTAGTGATCCCTATTTTTCTACTTGTATTTTTACATGCTTTCGAACAAGGAGAGATTTAACCTGGAAATAAGGAGAAATTTTCTGACAGTGAGAACAATCAACCAATGGTACAGCTTGCCTTTGGAAGTTGTGGGAGCTTCATCATTTGAGACTTTCAAGAAGAGATTTGGACTGCCATTTGTCAGAAATGGTGTAGGGTCTCCTTCTTGGATGGGGGATTGGACTAAATAAAGTTCTCTTCCAACTCTGTTAATCTGTAAATCTGCTAGGTTGGCAGAAGCTGGGACAAGTAACTGTAACAAGTAACAAGGATGCTTACACAGCTCTTATTTATTTGAACAAAGTTTGCACAAGAAATTTTCTCCCAGTAAATTGGACTCTTAGCCTAAAATAAAGCCTATCCTTGCTCTGTTCAGTCAGATTTACCGAAACTGCACAGTTTTGATGCAAGAACAATATGTAATTGATATTATTTGCCTAAATATTGAAATCAATATTAGAAGTTAGGCAAATCCATCCTCTTGTTGAAAGAATCAAGCTGATTAGTGGATGAAAATTTATATTCCATTTGCTTTGTAAGCTGAAAAGTCCTCTGCATGTAATTCTTTGTGTGTCAGATGCCAAACTTTACTCTCCTAGCAAGAAGTGTAATAAACAAGATGAACGATAAAGGTTTTTGTAATTGCTAATCATTTGAAGTAATAAAGGGCACATCTCATTTTTATATCAATATATAGTAATATACACCAAGAAAATGATTATCTGTAAATTATTCAAATGCAAATTACATGAGGTGTTTTTTAAACAAAAACAAAAGGCTATGTCCAAAGTGTAGGAAAGAGACTGGCAGAAGAACTGTGGATGACACTTTGCACAATTTGTATCCTCCTTTGTGTAAAAGTTATGAGAAACAAGTTGAGGTTTGTTAGAAGTTGGCTGGTTTATCTGTGACTCTGAATACATAAATGGTACAAAGGTTTCTTCTTAACATTCATTAAGTGCTGCTGCTTTGAAGCAGTATTTTAAAAGCAATAAGGACGGTTTCAGAAACTTCAGAAATGCACATGTTTAGGAGTGAATTTAAATATTGTATTTGAGATATTGCTTTATATACATATAATCTTTTATATTTTCTATATATTTTCTATACATTTAAATGAACTTGATGCCATTTATATACATCATAATAAAAATAGAATAGAGAACTTCCTTTGCTTCTCGATTAAAGCTATGTGAAAAAAAACCTGTAGAAACATTGTCATATATTTTCTTTCTTTACATCAGAAATAAAATGATCTAAATTCAGATTTCTACCAATTGTTTATATATGGAGCAGAGAAGTAATTCTTCCAAAGGGCACAATCCACCTTATGGGGAGGAGGGTCTACCTGCAGCGAATGCCCAAACTGCAATTCCTCTAATTCCTTTCTGCAGGATGGATCATTACAGAGAGCCTCATAGGTTGCCCTCCCTTCTATTCCCCTCCCCTCTTTCAGCTGACTTCTTTGGAAGAGATATGGTGGAGTAGAGATGAATCTAGTCCCAAGAAAACTTTCTGCACCTTAAATTGGGCTGTGGGCATGTATGGATTCTTGCCTCTCAAAGATGCAGGGAAAGCTTGTCTTCTTTTAATGCTGAGAGGGATACACAGGCTTGGCTTGATGAATCATAACATGTATGCCTAATAAAAAATAATTTAATAAAAGTATCATGGAGTCATATTTTATTTGGTTTGCAAATGATTCTATTGTGATGAAATAGTAAAGGGCTTTTCTCCTTCTGTATTGAAAAGTTATTTGAAGCAAGTTCTGGTGGTGGCTGGGATTAGTCTTATTTTGGGGGTGAGGTTTGACACTACACTCTGAATATTTTAGTGGTACTGGGCCTACAGTATTACTACAGGACATCCAAAAGTATTTTATTTTAATATTGGGCAAAATGTAAATTGGCCAGTAATAATCTTTTATATTTTGGCCAAATTTGCTATTATTTTAATTATTCACCTGCACATTTTTATAAAGCATGCCCACTCCCAGTCAAAGGATGTCAGGAAATGACAGAAAAAGGGAGGTCCTTCTGATTTTCCCTGAGAAGCAGGGGTGGGATTTAAATTTCTTATTATTTGGTTATATGGGGGTGGCCTAATTTGTGGATGTGGCTTGGTCATGTGATGGTGGGCGTGGCTTGGTGGTCATGGCCAACTTGATGTCACTCATATGAAGGGGCGCCTCGCCTGGCTTCGCCTCACCCCTCCCCTCCCAGCCAGTCCAGAATGTGCTTCTCTTTTACTGCTCTTTTCAAATCCCCTGATGCCTACACCTGCATTTAATTCAGGTAAACCCAAAAGACAATACCTCTTTCCTAAACTGTCAAAATTGAAAGTGCTCCAAAGGGAATTACTCAGGAGGGTGATATTAGCAATTCATAAACATAATTATCTTGCTCTCAGAAAAGAAGGGGACTTAACAAACTATTTAAGCAAAGCATGATTAACTACATAGCAGCAAAAGGCAGATGAGTAGCTCATTGAGACCAACAGTGATATAAGCAAAAAATCAGTCTTGTTAGGAAAGGCTGACTAATAAAAATGTACCCGGATCTTCTCTTGTTATAAAATCATCCTGGACAGCTGTGGAGCTTACTCCCCTCCCTCTTTTGGGAAGATTTACAAACAACTTCCAGCCAGGTTTGCCCTGCAGCCTCACCCATCCCCACTGGCAGCTCTTGCCTGGGCAGCGGTTTGGCTTTACCTTGCCCAACCTTCCTCCTCCCGCAGCTGGTGGCAGAGGGGAAGGCCAGCCCCCTCAGCTCCAGCAATGCCCTGTTTGCTGAGTCCTGATCTGGGGCTCTCCATACCTGGGGGACGGGTGGTGGTGGCGGCATGCTCTAGTTGTTTTCATCAGCAAGAGGGGCTGCAGAGCCTCTCTCGCTGTTGGGAAGGTCTTGCTGAGCATCCCAGAACTTCCCGGCAGTGGGGAGTTTTCTTGGCCAGATCCAGCCACAGCAGCACCAGGGGGAGAAGGAGACCGTTCCCTCCTCCCCAGCCAGCCTGCACATAGTCCCATGGCTTCTTCCTGGCCAAGGGAAAGAGGAGACCATTCCCTCCTCCCCAGCCAGCCCAGACACGGCCATGTGGTGGTGGTGGGGGAGCTAGCTAGCTAGGTCACGGTGAAGCAAGCCAGGTAACCCTGGGGAGGGGGGGTGGGGAGACAGCGCAGTGGCCTAGGCTGGGCCTGGGAATCAACTCAACCGGGGCTTGCTTGTAAGCTCACTCACCCAGGGAGATCAGCTCCGCGGTGGAAGGCAGGCAGCAATGGTGGACAAAGACAGGTTAGCAATGGTGGGCGAGATGAGGAATGACTGGTCAGGGTGAGTGGGCAGGCAGGAAGGGGTGGGGCCAGCCAATGGCTTGATGTACCGGTTCTTTGAACTGCATAAACTCGTAACAGCTGGTTCTATAGAACCGGTCTGAACCGGTAGAATCCCACCCCTGCTGAGATTTTCTTTGGCATCAGTGGCATCTTAACTTACAATTCCTGATTGAGCCCTAGTGTTGTCTTTGTTGTGTCCAAGAAAGGGAATGTTAAAAACTAATGTTAAAAACTAGAAAATTAGCACCCACTCTTCTAGAAAAATGAAATATTCTAGGAAATATTAAAAAGGCAGAATATTATACCTCCCTGGATGACAAAAGGAGAAACATGCTCTTGGAAAGCAGGCCCCACTTTTGTTAATAGCCCCAGAAAGACAGCCACTCTATCTACAAGACAAAAGATGTTTAGCTCTAGGGTGATGGGATTAGCCCTCACATAGATCCAAGCCATTAAGCCATAATAGAAATTGCCCAAAGCCCCTTCATTACATCACCCAGCAAGATTCAACCAAGCTTGGGACTCAAGACAACCTACAAAATTACCCCTCCATGGCCCCATGGGAGTCTGACAAACAGGATAAATTTCTTGCCACAGGAACAGGAAGCAAGTTCAAAGCCCAACAGAGAGTATAAATCTTTTTCACCCATGTGCTCTTTTTTCCCAGGAACTCAATGTGGTCCTGTCCACCATTAAACCATCTTTCCATGCAGTCTCCATGTTTCCAGTGTCTTTCTTCCCACTTGGAACTGAACCTAGATTGACATTTCTTCCAACAAAACAAAACGCCAAAGAGGATACTTCATCCTTCCTGACCACTCTGGCCCTGGCAGTATTCTCACCATCACTCAT